CAATACTCCTATGGGTAACCGCTTGGAAATACCAGGTGCTGTAAGCTTGGATGTGCGGGTGATGTAATGGATAACGGCTCGGAATTGGAAATCGGAGTCGAGTTCGAATTTCAGTTGGGCTCGTTATAGTTACTTATGCGAAAATATTTTTCTTCTTCTCGCCCAGATATTAGTAGGAATTGTATCAGTAAAATCATTATTGTCTCCAAAAAATTTTTACAATCCAAAAATATTTCCTGGCTTTAAATAACCTGCCGTTGATAAGCCATAAAAAACAATCAATCTATGCTCTATTTTCTCGTTATGTGTCTCAGAGATTTCAGCTCTTTCTTTCTGATTGTAAGTATACATTTCTTTTTTGTTTCTATTTTTATTAAAACATCCTCGTCGCTCACGTGTTCGGTTTATAGCATTCTAAGCTTTCGTCGCTAGAACTGCATCTCTGTCGCTTCAATACCCTTCTTCATCTGAGAATTCACTTCCATATAGGAGATTAGAAATTATATAGTAATTCATCACTCATTTCATTAAAATTTACGTATTCTTTATTTCAGTTAGTTTTCATAGTAAAACAATTTTCATTGTATTTCCATAAAAATAATTTTCAATGCATTACTAAACTAAAAATCAAGTATAATGCATTAAAATAAAATAAAATAATTTACAATGCATTCCTATAATAAAGATAATTTTCAGTGCCTTGCTATAATAAAAATCATTTACAATGCATTTCTATAATAAAAATCATTTACGCAACATTTACAATGTTTTAAAACTTTGCAAAGCATGTAGATTATATATGCATTGTTATAGATATAGAATGAAAATTATTTTACTATAGAAATTAATTGAAAATGAAAATAATCGCCCCGATTATTGGTGTGGATAAATAATGATGAATATAAGGAAGACGCAGTTTTCTTTCTCTCCTCATGACTTTCCAAAGGCTACCGGAAATGCATTGGCTCAATTATCGGGATAAATTACAAATATTTAAGTTGAAATTAGGCTCTTTTATTTAAATACCATGAATAAAACTGTTCTTCGAAATTTAATATTGAATACAGGACATTTTTGCTCGTGTGCGTGCGTGTGAGCATGCGTGCGTGCGTGTGAGCATGCGTGCGTACGTGTGCGTGTGTGTGTGTGTGTGTGTGTGTGTGTGTCATCGTCACTTGATCTGAATGCCATTGGAGAAAGTTTCAACTAGAGCTGATATTATTTCATTGTTTCATCAAAATACGGGCCGTGGGCAATTTCGTTTCAATTTATATCTATCGAGTAAGCGTTAATTACCAAAATTTGAACTAAGCGACACATCAAAACTGTTACAAATGACTAATAAGACGATCTTCAACTAACCTTGGCCTAATTGTTGATGTCAGGTGTGAATATGTTTCATTTGGTGCCGAGACCAGGATTAGAACCTGAATTAGCATAGCCTCACGACGACAACAGATTAATAGTTGGTGTCAGTGGTAAAATGGTTACACTACCGGCTTTTACCGGAGGCGTCAATGGGTACTCGTAACCTCGTTAGTATGATGGAGACCTGGAGACGGTCTCCAGACACGAGGTACTATTTTGTGTAGTATATTGCTTGAAGATGAGACACGGCTAATACTAAACAAAAGATTGAGAAATTGGTATCAGTTCAACCAATTATGTTCATAATTTCAAGAATTTATTGAATGAAGAGTACCGTTAAAATGCATTTAAAACTCTGGACAAACAGAAATAGCAAACCTGGAATGCGAGTAAAAATTTAATTTTATTGAATAAATTCAGCTTAAAAGTTCTAATTGGACTTTGAATAAATGTTTGATTAACTCTATTTAGAAATTTGTGCTAACGTTTTCCCAAGCAAATCATGACCGGCCTTATTATTAATGCTATTTTAATATGAAACTGCCAGAGAGAAATTTACTGGAGGTCTAGAAAAACTCAACGGAAAAGAACAAAGAATAAGCTAAAAATTCTAATGTAATGTTTTTACGAGGGTCAGCTGAAAAGTTCATAGGCTTACTATGAAGGAGTGATGCTAGAACTGTGCAATATTACATGCATTAATTTCTTCTAATAACTGCATTGTTTCTTTCCAGGTAAACTCTCATCTGGCTGTTCAAAGAAGACTGTTCATTCTGTTGGTTAAGAAAAGTGTTATGGGACCTACCTTTATGGACTAAATGGACTCATCCTATTACTATATATACGGGGAGATTATGACTCTCAAGAGAGCTGTCTACAGTTGACCCGCAGTCTCTGACTCTGTGTACGTCTTCTGTGTACGACTTCTGTCGAACTCTCTGCTTTGGCAGAGAGGAACCCGGACGAAGCTTTGCCGAAGGACAAAGTTTCGTCCGGGGAGGTAGACAGGCCCTGAACCCGTCTAGGCGGGTTCAAAGGGTATATTTTTGGCCGAGCCTACGGGCTCGGAGAAACCCACGTTAAACTCGGCCTTGTGCCACATACATTCCTTGTGGGGGAACTGTTAAATATCGCTGTCTACAGTTGACCTGTTCCAGCTAAACAGTCGAACTCTCTACCTTCGGGCGGAGGGGAACCCGGACAGGGCTCCGCCGAAGGGCAGAGTCTCGTTCGAGGAGGTTGACTGCCCCTGAACCCGTTTATGCGGGTTCAAAGAGGGATTATTTTTGGCCGAGCCTACGGGCTCGGAGATCTCACGTTAAACCGGCCTTGTGCCACATGTAACTAAATATCGCTGTCTACAGTTGACGAGTTGACTACTGTCCTTTGCCGTCAGTCGGACGTGCAACACTTTTGTATTCGTTCTTTTTGTTTAATAATATGTTTTCACTAAATTGCTGAGTTCGAGTTTTCTTTCGGACCTATTCTGGGTCCGCAACAAAATATCATCAACAACATATATGACGTTCCTATATTGCTTTCCATTCAAGTATTTTTTTTATGTTCTTGAACAGATATTCAAATCAGGAGAATAGGGAGGGTGATCAGCTAGTTTAAAGCCACGGTTACGAACAGCAGCCATTGAAACCAAACAATTGTGCGTTACAGCATTGTCCTGATGAAACAAGACTCCTTTCGTCAGTTGTTCTGGACGTTTAGTCTTGACAGCCATTCGTAACTGCTTCAGTAAGTTGGCATAGAACTCTCCATTGATGGTATGGCCCTCTTGAAGATAATCAATAAATACAATGCATTTGCATTCCCAAAAAGCTGTAACCATCAACTTTCCGGCAAACGAAACGACCTTGGCCTTTGGCTGCAAGGATTGTTTATATGTCACTGGCTCAAAGAGATGAACCCAAAACGTTCAAGGAAACCAGATTGAGCAACCCCAAACAATGTCAGATTTTCCTGTGATATGATCAGCCTGCTGTTCTTTAAATAAAGTGTTAGTAACCTTCGTCATACCAAGTTCATTGTGCATGACACTCTCAAACCTATAACGAGATATGCTAAGAGCTTTAGCTATTTCGTTTATAGTCGATCGACTGTCATCTATTACCATGTGGGGAAAAAGACCAGTGTTTACGACAGTGGTGTTAGTTGCAGGATGTCCAGACATTGTGCCATCTTCAAGGCACTCGCTACACTTAAATTCAGCTTCACTGTTGATAAAGCTGGAGTGTCATCCCCATGTCAGCATGAGTGTTCTTGCAAATTTTGTCCATTTACAAGAGAAGTTCCTACTAGTTACATTAGAAGTCTTTCTTGGACAGTCAAATGTGCGTTTGCCTGGAAATAACCAATGCAATTAATAAGAAGAGTTAAAATTAATGCATGCAAGGTTTCACAGCACTGTCATCACGCCTTCATTGTTAGCCTATGTACTTTTCATCTCACCCTCGTAAGTGGAAGGAAACAATGCAGTTATTAACAAAAAGAGTTGAAATTAATCCATGCAAGATATCAGCACTCTAGCGTCACTCCTTCATAGTCAGCCTACGCACTTTTCAGCCCACCCTCGTACCTGGAAAGAAACCATGCAGTTTTTAATAAGCAGTTTTGAAATTAATGTGTTGCAAGTTTTTACTCCTTCATTGTTAGCCTATTTACTTTTCAGCTAAGTCTCGTACCCGGAAATAACAATGCAGTTTTTAATGAGAAGAGATTAAATTAAGGCGTGCAAGATTTCACAGTTCTAGCATTGCTCCTCCAAAGTTAGCCTATCTACTTTTCAGCCGACCCTCGTAACTGGAAAGTAGCAATGCAGTTATTAATAAAAAGAGTTGAAACTAATGCGGGCAAGATTTCACAGCTCTAGCATCACTCCTACATAGTCAGCCTTTGAACTTTTCATCCAACCTTCGTACCTATAAAGAAAAAATGCAGTTATTAATAAAAAGATTTGACATTAATTCATGTAGGATTTCACAGCTCTAGCATCACTCCTTCAAAGTCTATAGACTTTTCAGCCCACACTTGAACCTGGAAAGAAACAATGCAGTTTTTAATAAGAGTTGAAATTAGTGTTTGTAAGATTTCACAGCTCTAGCATCACTCCTTCATAGTCAGCCTATGAACTTTTCAGCCCAGACTTGTTTTCGCTCTTTCAGTTACGTGTGATCAACTCCGGAAATAGACAATTCCTGTTTTACCCAAATGTCGTTTTCAAATTCGTGCGCGTGTTGCGAACCGTTAGCGACACGGAAGGTGAAATCGGCGAGCCGCGTTCAAATTCTGGCTGAGATTTTTTCGTACTGGTAGCTTTGGTAGCGAGTTCATTTTCCTGTAACTTCTGGGTTTAATAACGGGGAAGTCTGTTCTCTCTTGCTCTGGGTGACAGCCATCCTAGAAGAATGAAAACTCAGAATTTAAATCCTTGTCAATAACGTTTTTTTTTTTGTTTTTTTTTACAGTCTATTGACAATTTTTTTAAAAATATTACTGGGTGCCTAGACACCCTTCTCACCAGAGAAGCCTTTTGAGGAAACCGGTTTTTTCGTTGATAATCATGTGGCAGCTAGTGCTGGGTTACATGTTACCAGTGGACTGGCACAAAGTCAAAATAGCTATACGACCATATCACGTCGAAACACAGGTCTTCGTATGATCATCGAAGTTAACTGCAACGCCGAGCTAGGTCAGTACCAAGATAGGTGACCGCTTGGGAATACCTGGTGCTGTAAGCTTGGATGTGTTGAAGGTGTAATGGCTTACGACCTCATCACTTTGAAAGGCCGGTTCCCGTATAACCACCGAAGTTAAGCAACGTCGAGCCTGGTCAGTACCTAGATAGGTAACCGCTTGGGAATACCAGGTGCTGTAAGCTTGGATGTGTTGAAGGTGTAATGGCTTACGACCTCATCACTTTGAAAGGCCGGTTCCCGTATAATCACCGAAGTTAAGCAACGTCGAGCCTGGTCAGTACCTAGATGGGTGACCGCTTAGGAATACCAGGTGCTGTAAGCTTGGATGTGTTGAAGGTGTAATGGCTTACGACCTCATCACGTTGAAAGGCCGGTTCCCGTATAATCACCGAAGTTAAGCAACGTCGAGCCTGGTCAGTACATAGATGGGTGACCGCTTGGGAATACCAGGTGCTGTAAGCTTGGATGTGTTGAAGGTGTAATGGCTTACGACCTCATCACGTTGAAAGGCCGGTTCCCGTATAATCACCGAAGTTAAGCAACGTCGAGCCTGGTCAGTACCTAGATAGGTAACCGCTTGGGAATACCAGGTGCTGTAAGCTTGGATGTGTTGAAGGTGTAATGGCTTACGACCTCATCACGTTGAAAGGCCGGTTCCCGTATAATCACCGAAGTTAAGCAACGTCGAGCCTGGTCAGTACCAAGATAGGTGACCGCTTGTGAATACCTGGTGCTGTAAGCTTGGATGTGTTGAAGGTGTAATGGCTTACGACCTCATCACTTTGAAAGGCCGGTTCCCGTATAATCACCGAAGTCCAGTCGGGTTCGTTATATTTACTAACGCGCAAAGACCCTTGGGGAAGATGTAAATACACTTCTTTTCCCCTTAGCTTTTTTTTAATCGTTATCACCCCATGCAAGTGTTATATAGGAATAAAGTCTCGCTGCCGACACTTGAGTTTGAACAAAGATCGCCAGTGAGCAAACACAGGCGGTCCCATTATTGAATTAAGTAGAGTACGTGACCATAGAGGAAACTCATAAGTAGGAAGTTGTGTGACGTCTAAACGGTCGCTATTTCTAGTCTATCCTCTATTACTATACGGACAGCCATTCTCTACTCTATTCACTATACTATTTCTTTATTCAGATCACTATACGGTGGTTACTTGTCGAGTGAGCATTATCGAGAAAGTGCTATTAGTGTGAGTGATATTCGAAGGCGTCTGACACCAGTATTGTTCAACGGCGTTACTGTTATTGTATCTGCGATTACAAAGTCTCTACTACCACGAGCATTACGAAATTAACAACGATTATTTTTTTACATCACAAAAGCAAGGCAGTAAAGCCACTAAGACACAAGCAATTACAGGGTGTGGAAGAATTAGGAATCAGATATGGGCTAATTAGTAGGACTTGTATCAGTAAATCATTATCATCTACAGAACATTTGTTACAATGTAAAAATATTTTCTGGCTTTAAATAATCTGCAAAGGGTTGATAAACCGTAAAAAGCGATTTCAATCAATCACAATAGCCAAGAAATAGGGACAGAAATATTGTTGTGTCAGTCTTCCAAGCGGGAAGAGCCTTCTTTTTTTGTTATTTTCGCTTGAAGTACTGGTGAGGAAAACGTAACTATTTCTGCAACACGGCATATCCATCTCCCTTTTGATAATTATTAACATTACTTTAGTACGGCACTAGGCGACCAAATGAAAAAAAGTTACGCTATTGCTGTGGGTCGAGTTTATGAACTGTCTACTTTGAAAATTATCATTCGATTTTCTTTTTTTTTTTTTTTATCTGGTTTCATGCATTGACTATTGTCACCAGGGTAAAATGCATATCTATTGTGTACGTGGTAAGTCACAGTCTGTTACTGATATTAACTTAATACGATTGTTAACAAAATGGTGGTATATAGGACGAAAAAGAAACTATATTTTTTTATTGCAAGCTGGTCTGTTACAGAGACATCTGAAGAAGGCTGAAGGATGCAACCAGTGCCGTCTGGCCAGGATGTCAACTTGCCCGATGACAAATGAGTCCCCATATATGAAATAAGATTGCAATTAAAGAAACAAACACAGACAACTGTTTAGTAATAAAAAGTAATAAGGACATTTATAAAGTCATCTCCACACTATCAGTTACTCAAATCCAATGTGAGAGGACATTTTCAAAGCTAAACATCATAAAGACAAGTTTAAGAAATTCGTTGTCTGAGGAGAATTTGGAATCTTACACGTTGCTCGCCATTGAAAAGGAATTGTTAGATTAATTGGATGCAGAAGCAATTATTGGTAGATTCGAACAATCATCTAATGAACACGGACGATTGCTCTTAATATAGTAGACTGCATGCAATTCTCTATTATGCTTTTGAACTACCTGTTAATAAGTAAATTGTGCAGTAAACTATTTAAAAGTATCAACCAATTACTTAAAAAATTAAATCATAACATTCTGTATTTACATTTGGTATCTACTGTCAGTAATATGCACATTAGTAGACTGTAATTAATAAGAAATACACATTTTTTCCACAGTAATTTTAATTGTACACTTTTTTCGATATGTATTTTTGAAAACTTTATTCGTTATGAGTTGTGGGTACCCCCCCCACCTTTTTTTCTCCTAACAAACAATATTTTTTAGTCCCAGCGCACCACTGGGTGCAACAGCCGAACTGTTGTTACTAAAACAATCATAATGAATCTTGAAAAAGATGTATGTACAGCAAATGCCATTAAAGAAATATAAACAGTGAAGAAAACGGGGTGATGAACGCAGACAACGAACTTTGTCCTCATTACACTCATTTCAACGCCAAAGGGTAAACTTATCCTTAAAACTGTGCCAATCTCCAGTCGACGGTACGATGGCAATGATGTTGGTAGCATTTTCACAGAAGTGAATATTCCGTTAGATTTCAATGAGCAGTATAGTCAATATTATCATCCAAGATGGCGAACACAAGCCTTACCGGAAGTAGCCATATATCGCCTCGCGTAGAAGAATCGGATTTCTTCAATTTATTTATGTATTTATTTATTTATGCTCTGCTCTGTTTTCATTGAATTGCAATTCAAATCCACTCAGGGAAAAGTGGCATCGTTTTTCTTGTCATTTCTTTGTGGATTCAGTTCTCTCTGACGGGCTTCTGCTATAGAAATTCTTTTTAAAACCGGGTATAATGGCTGTCAGCTCCGGTTGACATGCTGACAAAACTCAATTTATTTAAGCGATGATCGCAGTGTCATCACTAGGGTTTGTGCGTGACTTCACCGGGATTTGCAGCTATAATAGACTTTCGTCCCCAGTCGTAGAGAGAGAAATTTACTTACGCAAACCGCGTTATCTACGCACGATCAATGTCTGCTAAGACTGTAGCTTCTAAAAAAATGGTTACCTTGCAGACGACAAATCATATCAACATTATTATTATTATTATTATTATTATTATTCACCAATACCACCACCACCACCACCACCAGGGTGGATTCTTTTGGACACCGACGTGTTGAGCTGTCCACTATCCACCTCCATCTCTCCCGATTGTGTACCAGTGACTTGGTCTCTGCGAATCGTTTCTTGGTGTGCTCATCATGTAGCATGTCTTGGGCGTTTTAACCTGGCGGAGCTCATCCCCCACAAGGTTAGACCACAGCCGACGTCCTCCAACTAGGTGGCTCGCCTTGGTCGCGAATATGTGGCTCATCTGAAGAACCCTCCCGCTCTGGCCGGTGACCTGCGTCGAAGAGGTCCTTCGCCTAGTCATAACGTGTTAACGCTACCCACCTCACCTGAGTTCAGCCCTCCAACTGAAACAGTTTACCGGGGCATGTCAGCTTTGAGCCATCACGTAAGAGGGTTGAGGAGTCTTGATGCCCGACCACCCGAAGGTGTAGGGTGCCAGACATCAAAGTTAGTACCTCTACCCAGAACCCCCATTTTTACACTGTAGTCAATTATTTCCTTTATTCGTGGGGGGTGCGGATGTATTTTTGAGAATATAAGAAATGGTATATCTTTTCACACCCACAAAAAATGCACACCAATAAATTAAAGATTTATACGCACAAAAAGACATGGACATAAATATTAGCTTATGCCAAACAACATACCCATGTAGTATGCGATTAACGCCAGAAAATGCCAGAGTAGTATTTGATGCCAATAAGGAGTCTTTGTTCTAAGAGGAGTTGATCTATGGTGGCTCCAAAATGTACTGAGCTCACCGTAAGAGATAACAAAGTAGATTTTGCATTGAGCGTCACAGCAGAGCATCTGCGGAGCTGGTTGCATCAAAGGATTGTTACCCTGGAAGATACCCTCATAGCCACTAGGTGCAGATTCGCACCTCATGTCATTGGTTGCTCCCGAGATGTAAATAGGCAGTTGACCCAGACGTGCTTAGCATGTACATTCGCTGGACAACCTTAATTTATATAAGCATCCCAAACGAAATGAAACAGAGAGAGAGAGAGAGAGAGAGAGAGAGAGAGAGAGAAGTGCCGTGTCTCACATTCTTGTGAGAAGATCTACGTTTGGAGAAAGCTTCCAAAAACACACACCCTTATGACGATACGAATTGAGGCAGTACAAAAGCGTATAAGCAATTAAGAAAGTGTCCCAAATTAACTTAGAATATACAAACACATAACAATCGGGTAAGTTATATAAATGACCGTCTTATGAGATGGGGAGGGAGTCCCTTCATCCTTTCAAGAAAAAAAAATAGATGGAACATTCGAAGAAAGACCTGAAACCACATATCTTTGACAGGCTGACGTTAGTAAAGAGGTGAATAAACAATAGTTTTATGTATTCTTATTAGTTTTTACAACAATAACATTTCACGGACATGACGCGGTGATAAGCAAGATGTTTTCTGATGTAATGAATATGTATATACACCTGGGTTCCCTCTCACAGTAATATGATTGGCTGGTGTCAGCCATAAATACAGACGGATGTGGAGGTACAGGGGACGCCTATTGCCTACGCCTATAGCCTACCACTACGACGAGGACCAGTCCATTACGGTTACTTGCTAGATTGTCATACTCGGTTACAGTAGTCCAAAACCAGTTTATTATTTCGAACAAATATATCTCTTTCCGGGACATATCATTTTCACAGATCATTATCATCGAATATTGACCTATATCCTAACCGGAAGCTTCAAATTTGTACCAAACAAAGTGAAGCTAATCAAATATACGAGAGGTGGGGATAAGGTGGTAAAATGGAAACGCTTTTACAGACAACACGTTTCGCCTGCTTCTGAGAGGCGTTCACAAGAAGGCATGAGAGCGAAACCCTATGTGCAAAGAAAGTGCGTTGAAATTTTTGAGGAAGAGGTGATAAGAAACCTTATTAGATACTACGACCAGAAAATTTATTTTTGTCGTATTGAACCCGTTAACTCAAATGATTACGTATATATTGAGACATCGATGTATTCTTTAATGAAAAAAAAGAATATATCGAAATGCATTACAAATTATTTGACAACAGTAACGCATTGCACATTACTTTCCTATAAAAATGTGTTGCAAGTTATTTTTCTTACAATACACTTCAAATAATTTAACCAAGTAATTTAACACTTGTTATTTATACAACCGCTATGTCACATATAGGATCCATGAAACAAATAGATCATGCATGATTTAACTGGAAGAATCAATTGCAAATCAATTTACTATAAGAATGCATTGCAAATTA